ATACATAATATCTTATATTTTGACGTATTAAAAGCTACTGAATATACACTTACCTAATTATATATCTTTAAGTAAGCAGAAAATATTTTATTGTCCCAGTGAAGTAGAGAGAGAGAGATGAAAAAGTTGAACCACAACAGAAACAGGAAGCAATAGGAGTAAAAGGCATACAGTTTGTAATTACTATAGCAAATACTAGGCTTATCGCTAACACCATATGACTGGCTACCAAATCCCAATATTATTACCACATATATGAATCATGAGAAGGGATGAAAATCATGTTTACATAATTGAGACTCTATCCAAACTTAGAGTATTTTGAGATTTTTCTCCCTTCTAACCTCTAGGGCCTTCAAATGTATTTTTACTTCTACAAGTATACATCTGAATATGGGAATGTAACTGTGTCTTAATACTTGGCTAATTTTAACACTCAGTATGGGATTTATTCCTCTGCACAGTTTAGGTTCCAGCAACTGACCTCCAGCATTGGGCTGGAAGTCAGGAGGTTCAGAATTCTGAGGTTTTATACCTGCTTTGACCTTCACTTGCTCTGTGACCTCAGAAAGCTTGGATCACTTGATCTTCCCCACATTAATCTATTAAATGTTAGAATCTGTCTCGGCCTGCTTTACGGAACTTCAAATTTTCAAATGGCCTTAAAATATATGTTGGAATATGAGTAGGATATGGGAGATCTTTTCCTCATTTTATCTTGCCTTCTTGAACATTTCATCCGATAGTTATAAATGTACATCCAGAAGAAAATGAAGATTTGATTCATGAAAAAAAAATCCTCGAGTCTTTCAGAATCACATGTAATCATAGTGTTTTAGAAAGAAAGGAAAGATACTGTAATGGATACTCTTTGCCAGCCTTCCGGTGTCCCATGTGAAGAAACTGGGGTGCACTGGACATTATTCGCTTACACAAGGCTACACAGCTCAATAGCAGCAGAAATATTTCTGAACCTTATTCTGAACACCATCCTATCACATTTCTTCTGAGAGGGTAAGGAGTACAACTTTTTAAATACCAAATGATAATGACTTTAAAAATCATTTTGCCATTTATGACATTTTTCCTGGTAATGTTTTTCTTTAAAAAATACATGAGGCTATTTCCTTTTCTAGTAGACAATCAGATTTTATGTCTTTCAAGTTATGTCAGTTCCCTAGTAGATTAGAAGAAGACGCATTTTTAATATTTCTTTTATTTAAGTGTAGGAAGAAATATGGTTGTGGAGACCCTGTTTTCCTTTTTTAAGAATGGTAATCTTTTGGATTCGCAACAGATTTTTTGTGCCCAAAACTATGATAGCACAATTTCAGGGTACCCCCACCAGGGTTCCATAATAAAAGTCATTTTAAATGATTATTTTTTAAATCTTTCAGGACCTTGAAGATTTGATTAAAGCCAAAGAGAAAGAAGTAGAGGCAATTGAGCAGAATGGGCTTGCTTTGATTCAGAACAAGAAAGAAGAAGTGTCTGGCACTGTCACGAGCACGCTGAGGGGGCTCAACCAGGCCTGGGCCAATTTAGACCACATGGTAATGTTGCTGACTGCTTGCTAGCTCTTGTCCAATCAATCTCTGGGTTTTAGTTTCCTTAAAGTGACTTTGCAATTAACTACCAAATCCGTGTATCACCTCTTCGTACTATGAAGTCCATTCCATTAACCACTTTTTCAAAAGAAAAATCTAGCTTCTGGTGCTTCCTCTGAGAAACATTATGGTAAGTATTACTCACTCATTCCCATCCCTTTTGACACCGTGTAGGCATGGGTGATTCGCAGTGTCCCTCCAGCCTTGATTTTTCTCCTGAACTCTATAGAACCAGACTCTGAGGAACTCAGCTGGTAGACATTTCCCACTGGTCTCCAGACTCAGCTTTCTACTGTCTTTATCTTATCTTGAACCTGGCTTGAAATCTGTTTTACTATGTTAATTTTTGTAATTATTGCAAATGTTTGGAAACAATTTACTATGAAAGTATAAAATAACTGGTTTTTTCATGCAAATATAGCCTCCTGAGAAAACAAACTAGTATAAAGCGGAAACAGACTATTTAAATTCCTGTTGCTCTGTTTTACTTGCCTTCCTGTCTGTTTCAGGGCTGCCTAGGACAGGCCTGGCACCTGGCTGCACCGTGGGCATTGCCTCACAGCTGACACAGTGCCTCCTTTGTCCTGTGGTCCATCAGATAGTACTTTGATTGGTTGCAACAGTTTCCCTTCATGCAAGAAGAGAAGCAGAGAAAGCAGATGCAAATGAATTCACATGATCTCTTTCCTTTATCGGCCATACTTACTCTTTATTCAGAGGGTTTGATTTAGATCAGTGCTGACATTCAGGAAGTCCAGGTAGACATCTTATAAAGTCGTAGGGGCCAAAATAAAAAAATGTTTTGATTTAAACACCATGGCTTTAAATGTTTTGTCTTAAGATATTCATTCGAGTGAGTGAGTATGTTTGCACACGCATATGTGTGTGTACCTATATACAGATGTCATTTCTTGGGACCAGACTACCTGGATCTAAGCATAGATTTCTTATTTTCTAACAGTATGATTTTTAGATAGTCTTCATTGTCTCTCGGTACCTCAGTTTCCCCATCTCATAAGATTGCTATTGATTCAATGAGTTAATATATTGAAAACACTCACTTAATATATTTCCTAAATGTCCTTGCATGATACAGTTACTTCCTCTCACTTTAAAATATGTATATTGATCCCCGGTACCAAAAAAAAATACATATATTTATTAATCACCGTTTAAGCATTTATATTTAGACTGTGTTCAACAGTTTAGAAAGCAAAAATTTCAAAGTTTCTGCATTTTTACCTTTCCCATATCTTTTGAGTTTTTTAAGTAATACCTGAAACCTTGTTTTTAGATGCTAATATTTTCCATCAACTGAGTGTATGTTCAATTATTTTAAATATTACATAATTACAATAAGTGTTCCTCCTTTGCCAAAGGCTGGGCAACTGAAGATACTGCTGAAGTCGGTGCTCGACCTATGGGGCCATCACAAAATGGCCTTTGATGAAATGAATAGTCACCTCATGGAGGCCAGATACTCCCTGTCCCGATTCCGACTGCTCACTGGCTCTTTAGAAGCTGTGCAGGTGCAGGTAGACAATCTTCAGGTAAGACATGAATTTAAAGCATCCCCAACATTATTTTTAATTGATAAAATCTAATGACTAGCCAAGTTTGCCAATATGTTGTTTACATTTAATATTTTTTAAACCTGTAAATTTTACCTGCTTTACTGTGACATAATCAAATTTGCCTGTGGGCACCAAATTCTAGATGTGTTGCTCTAAGGCTAAGGGATAGTAAACTTCCTCTTATGTAAGGGGAGTCCGTGTCAGTGTGTTTAATAAAATCATTTTATGCCAAATCAACTTCCTTCACCCATCATCACTACTTTTTGTGTCTTCCCTTTCTCTTTTTATCCTGCCTTTCCAAACACTTTCTAAGGGATTAAAAAGAAAACAAAGAGAAAAATAGCAAGAGTGGTAAATATTTAAAGCATTAACTTATTTTTTTCCCTTCAGTGTAATAGCAGCAGACTGTCTAGTGTGTTCACCATTCCTCTTTCCTAGCGCTCACTGCTTGCTTTCCTGTACCTCCATTCTCATTGGCTCTAGAATTTACTGCTGCTCTTGCCCTTAGCTATGGCACAAGTGCCTGTCCCAGGACTCTTTCCTCAAATCACTGTCGCCCTCACTCCCCTGCAAACCTGAGCACTGGAAGGCACTCACTTATCACTGCTCTTTCTTCTTGATTAATAATGCAGGTGCTGGGCAGGGCAGGACCAGCCCCCGAGAGACAAGATGCCCAGGAGCCCGGCATGTGCCCCTGGTTCTTGTAGCTCACTTCCCTGACTTGGCTCTCAGAGCTGATGTATTGCCAACCTCCTGTGCAATGGTTCTGAAGGGAATGTGTCTTTTGGGATGGGGTGGAGGGAACAAGGACGAACTGTGTAAATCTAAATTCTTTCAACTTTAAATAGTTGTTGTGGATACCAGGAATCAAACTATTTTGAGCATGATAAATTTAAAACCACGCTTTGTTACTTTGAGGATGTTGGAAGTCTTTTTCAATTTAATATAGTCTGTGTTTAACACCTGCAAGAGTTACGAAAGGATTTAGTGCCCTTCCCTTGAACATTTTGATTTAAAGGCAATCAGACATCGATGCTAAATAGCACTAGATTTTGCAGCCCCGTTTGCCTGGAGAGTTCTATTAAGAACTCAGTCTATCATTTTGGCAACATTTCCCAGAAAAAATCATCTTGTAATTCCTTCCTGGTCTCTGGTGGAAGATTCCACCAAGCCTCCCTAGTGCAGACACTTTTCTCCAAGCAATTTTAAAATGTACAGTGCATCATCCTTAGTTATAGTCACGTTCTGTACAGTAGATCACCATAGTTTATTTCTCCTGTGCAGCTGAAACCATGAGCATCTCCCCTCGCCTTTCCTAGCCTCTGGGTAATCACCACTCTGTTCCCATTTTCTGTGAGTTCACCTTTTTTTAGACAATTCTAAAAAAGTACGCAGAGTGATCATATGTTAACTTAGTCACCCCACAGTGTAAACATGTATCCATATATCACATTGTGCTCCATGAATATATACAATTATCATTGTCAATTAAAAATACAATTAATTTTTTACATTTTTTGACAAGAACACCTAAAGGTAGAACTCAGAAATGGTGCTCAGAAAAGCTATGACTTACATAGCTTACTCGGTTATCAGGAAGTTTTGGAAGAACTACTATACATGTGTCAACAGAGTCCTGGTATTTGGTTTTGAGCATCAATGGGAACCACAGTATGAAAGACACTACTTATGCCAAGACCATAGCTTCCGACCAGGTAGGTACAGGAGAAGGGTACCTGCTGTGGTCATTTCTACCAGAATCCCAGGTGCCACTATACAAACGTTCAATGTCAAAACATCTACCACAGCCATAAAAAAAAAAAAAACATAAAAAGGGGAAAGGAAACTATCTAAATAAAGCTTATACAGCAATAGAGCAAAAGCCTGCATGTATATAACTTGGTACATTCTGTGAAACTGCTTATTAGATTTAGATGCCCTCATGTCATCTGTGAGACTTTTTCTTTGGACAGAATCTTCACGATGATTTAGAAAAACAGGAAAGGAGCTTAGAGAAATTTGGCGTTGTCACCAACGAACTATTAAAAGAGTGTCACCCACCTGTGACAGAAACTCTCACCACTGCACTGAAAGAAGTCAACATGAGGTATGCATACGGCTAACTTTACACATTACTCATATCCTAATATTATTGTAAATGTAATACAAACATCTTCTGACATTTTGAATTTGAGCTCTTCAGGTGCTATTTTAATAATGCTTTGATTTTCATCAAGTGAATATAGCCACGCATAGTGAAGCTATTGAGGACTAATTAGAACTACTACATGCCCAAAGACTGCTCACATCTCTATTATGTACCTTTAAAATACAAGTAAGGGAGGGCCAGGGATTTAGCTCAGTGGTTCTACCGTCTGTCTCACAAGTGCAAGGACCCAAGTTAGATTAAAAAAAAAAAAATACATATATGTGGAACATGTTACTTTTTATTGCATGAAATAGAAAGGAGTCATCCCTGCAGCATTTTCATGTTCACATGAACCTTGGTCGTGAAAAGTAAAATAGTCAGTAACAGCATTTGGTGAGACAGTCATCTGCCTACGCGCGTTGGCTCTTCTTCTCAGATGGAATAACTTGCTGGAAGAGATTTCAGAGCAGCTGCACTGGAGCAAGGCCCTCCTTCAGCTTTGGCAGCGATACAAGGACTACTCCAGTCAGTGCAGCTCTGCGGTTCAGCAGCAGGAGGAGCGCACCAATGAGCTGTTGAAGGCAGGGGCTAACAAGGACATCGCTGATGACGAGGTTGCTACGTGGGTTCAAGATTGCAATGTAAGTACAAGAACTACCCTGTTTCTCCAGTGCGCTGTGCTCTGACTTTGCAAATTTAGCAGAGCTAGAACTGATGTGTGTCAGTTTGGGTATGTCTCACTTGGTGACAGTTACCTGAAAATTATTGCCTTGTATATATTTTAAAGCCTTGTAGGATTGCAAAACACAGTTAGACATATTGAAGATGTACGAGTTCCCCTCCCATTATTTTATTTTTCTTACTTTTCCTAGTGGAATATGATCCATGAGAAAGACTTAGGTTATCTGTTTTTATTGAGATGGTCAATAGAAGAAATGACTTCATGAAGTATATCAAATTATATCTGGAAGAAATCGACTGGTAAAGTTATCATACACTTAAGGTTGTTATCTCCTCTGTAAACATCTACAATGGTTTTGTCTAAGAATTTGGTGGTAGAAAGTAGTCTTTTTGTCTTGATTTATTGGTATACTTCTTTTTAATAGCTTTTAAATAATTATCTTTTTCACTGTAGCTGCCAGTAAGCTACTTAAGGTTTTCAAGAAAGGCCCTTCTCTTGTTTCTTCCATTACATGGCTCTTACTGTTTATCCTTATTCATCCTTATTTTAATGAACTTATTACAAAAATCATCTCATAAACTTTCTCAACTCAGTTTATTAGGATGAGGCAAGTTATAAAAACTATGTAAATAAAAGTTTATTGTATCCTAGGATCTTCAACCTGAGTAATAACTTTAACACAAAAGATGGATACTTACAATAAAGATAGTAAAATGTGTGTGTGTGTGTGTGTGTGTGTGTGTTCTATATAGTTTATCCCATAGTTACTGTGTGAGTGTAGCAGGCCCTGGGCCAGCAGTCACATGTCCTCTCTTAGTAGTGGCTACAAAACAAGAACGGGCTTTCCATGGGCTTGTGATTTTGAGCATGTAAAAAACGTTTCACAAAAGGTGGCAGCAGGAGATGCCAAGGAAAGAACAGAGATACAGACCACTGTTACCTGTCACCCCTGCTTACCTGAACTATCCCTGGGTTTTACACTGCTCGAACATAGGAGGGTTATTGGAAACACAGTAATAAAACCACACATATAGAAGATGCCATGGGCAAATTAAGGCATGGTAAATAAAAATGAGTAGAAAAACATAAAATATAGAACTGTGCTTTCAATATCATCATATTGAGCAGCACACTTCACAGATGGTTCCACAATGCACATATTTTCACCTCCTACAGGACCTCCTCAGAGAACTGGGGACCACCAGAGACTCTCTTTTCATCCTCCGCGAGCTAGGAGAACAACTCAAGCAGCAAGTGGATGCTTCCGCAGCCCAGGTCATTCAGTCCGATCAGCTGTCCCTGAGCCAACACCTGTGGACCCTGGAGCAAGCTCTGTGCAAACAACAGACAGTGTTGCAGGTGCAGAGTTCATGTTCAGTGTGGGTTATAAAGTGGATGCTTCATAACAATGGGGCATAATGCAAGACATGGGGTTTTCATTAGTAAGACAGTGCCTCCTCCAAGACCAAAGCAAATTTGGGAGCTCCACAGGGAACAGCAGTTGGGTGGGATTTTGCATTGTTCTCTACAATGTGATTTTAAAATCTGTCTGGGAGACAAGCCCCCAAACCATGCCTGCCTCATGGTATGTCCAATTAACACTAAATACCATTAATACTAATGTTTATTTAAGTTTTTGCAAAAATCTGAATTTTTTCAGATGTAATCCATGATGTATTTCAGTAATAATGTTGGTTGTTGACAAGTGGTGTATAGAAATAATTCTACTACTTAGAAAAATTACATAAATGAAGAGAAATTTTATATCATTGTGGCCTTATTATTTTAGAAATAGCTTATCTTGGGAATGGCAGTTTGATACAAGAATATGGAAAGTGATTTCAATATCCATTTGCCATTTCACTAGAATTCATTAAAATATTGCTTTATTTCACTAAAACACTGATTTTTTTTTTCCTTTGTGGGTATGTTTAAAGGCTGGAGTTGTTGACTATGAAACTTTTGCCAAGAGTTTGGAATCTCTGGATGCCTGGATTGTGGAAGCCGAGGAGATCCTACAAGGGCAAGACCCCACCCACTCATCTGACCTCTCCACCATCCAGGAAAGGATGGAAGAACTTAAGGTAAGAGTGTTCATGTCTTTGTGCCCAATCTAGCTTCTGCCCTCAAAATCTTCAGGAAAACTCAGAATTTCTATAGACTGACTTTTTTAAAATTCCCAGGGAAACTGTCACCATCTCTGTCCTCCTGTTCCCTGGGAGTAGTGTTCTTAGTGTTGACAGCGATTGGTCAATGATAGCCCAGCCACGGCGGAAGACCTACCAGGACCAACCCTAGAAACCACCCCACTCCTCCTTTCCACTTCCTGTCCCACCTACTGCCCAGGCCATCACCTCCTTAATAGCTTCTTGCCTCGCACCTGTCTCCAACATCATCCTCCTGGTTCACCCTACTCCATCTCCCTGGTCAACACAGCCTTAGGCAGATCTTACATCCATCCTGTGTCCCACCTGTCTCTCACCTGGCTGTCAGGATGAGTTGTTTCTTTAAAGTTTTATTTAATTACTTTGATTTAAGCATTTTACATATTGCAGAACATCACTGAGCTCATTGGGATGCAGCCTGTAATCTTGTCATTCTGAGAGGATGAGGCAGGAGGTTCATAAATCCATCCCCACCCTGGGCAACTTAGACCTCATCTCAGAAGAAACAATTTTAGGAAGGGTTCAGAATATAATTCAGCGAGAGTCCTGGGTTCAATCTCCAATACCACAAAGAAACAAACAAACAAAGCACAGTGTATGCCATAACTGTATATAATCTTGATTTGTCAATTAGCAATATTAATAATTTTTAAAAGAAAAATTAAAGGTTTTACTTAATTACTAACAATTTTAAACATGCAGTAACATAAAAAAATGAATATCACAGATACGCAAAATTTATCCTATTATTTGCCTGGTTAAAATCCTGTGAGTTCCTATTGTTGTCAGGACAAAAACCAGTGGAGCCCAGCAAGTCCAGTATAACCTTCTTTGACCTTCCCCAGTGATGTCCTCTGTCATTGCTGTCCATCTGTCCCTCCAGCCCCTCAGCAACACATTGCTTCCCAGTCGGTGTCCTTTCTTCTCCTTTCTGAATTCTTATCTCTAGCAACACCTTCTCTTCCCAAAAGAATAAACTCCTGGTTTTTGTTTAGTGTCAGTCTCTTAAAGCTTCTGATGATTGTTCAGCATCTGGCTTCTCATGACATGTTTCTATTCCCTTCCTTTCATGAGTAGGTGATTCCTAGTGTGCTTTCCATGAACGGAGTAGTGTCTCACTTCTCTGTGTGCAGGAGGAAAAGCACAAGGTCATATCAGTTTTGTTCAGTCCTGAAGTTTACTTGTGAAAATCCTGCCATCTGGTAGTTACCCCTTTTAATTCAGTGACCAAGTGGGTTGTTTTGTTTTGTGATGATTACAAGTGCAAGCTCAGCTTGGACAATTTAGCAACTTAATGAGATGCTGTCTCACAATAAAGAATTTCAAAAGAGCTGGGTCATGATTCAAATCTCTGTATCACAAAACAAAACAACCCACTTGATCACTGAATTAAAAGGGGTAACTATTAGATGGCAGAATTTCCACAAGTAAACTTCAGGACTGATCAAAACTGAAACGATGTCTTGCTTTATACTTCATGTGTCAATAGTACTCCATTGTATATTTATACCACATTTTCTTTACTCTATTCATCTGTTGATGAACATATAAGCTTTTCCACAAGATTTATTGTGAGTTGTTATGATGATTTTTAATTAGTGATAAGAATTCAATAAATGTTAGCAATCCTATCGTATCTATTATTAGTATTGAATAGTAAAGTAGCACATTAACATGAAAAAACTAAATATAGACTAAGAATGTTTCATTCATCAGCACAATTTTTATTCCTTATCAATTCATTTGAGAATTACATATGAGTAAATAAATCATGTGAGTAAGATGACACATGTAAACTATGGATATCCAGCAACAGATAATGAGCATCTGTGTAGCATTTCTGTCCACAGCAATGCAAACCGGAAGGAGACAGCTTTTCTCTAGTTGTACCTCTAGAGACTGCAAGTGACCTCAAAGCACACATCAAGCCAAAGACTGGCTCTTTCCTGAAATCAAAAATGCACTGTGCACATTTTAAAAAGCTCTGCCTTTTCCAACCATGGTGCCCATAAACTTGGTCTTCAATCTTGTCTGCAGGGACAGATGTTAAAATTCAGCAGCATGGCTCCAGATCTAGACCATCTCAATGAGCTGGGATATAGGTTGCCCCTGAATGACAAGGAAATCAAAAGGATGCAAAATCTAAACCGTCTCTGGTCTCTTATCTCTTCTCAGACTACAGAAAGATTCAGGTAAGCAAGAGGTGTTTTGCGCACTCCAATTATCTTAATTTGTTTTCTGCTGCTATAACAAAACATCACAGACTCAGTGGTTCACAAAGAAAAGAAGCTTATATTCTCATGATTTTGGAGTCTGGGAAGCCCAAGATTAAGAGTGGCAGGATTGACTGTCTGGTGAGTGCTACTCTCTGCTTCTAAGATGGCTCCTTCCTGATGCAACCTTGAGGGGAGGGGCCACCACATCCCCTTATGGAAGAAGGCCAAAGCCCAGAGATTTGGAGGCTACATGAAAACTTTTTCATAAGGGCCTTAGATCCATTTATGAAAGGAAAACTCTCATGGCTTTATTTCCTTTCTTTCTTTCTTTCTTTCTTTCTTTCTTTCTTTCTTTTTTTCTTTCTTTCTTTCTTTCTTTCCTTCTTTCTTTCCTTTCTTTCCTTTCTTTTCTTTCTGTTTTTATTTCTTTACATTTTTTTTTTTCCTGCAGTGTTGCAGACTGAACTGGGGCATGGTTGGCAAGCATCCTATCAGCAATTGATATACCTCGCCCTTTCACAAGATTTTATATTGAGACAATGTCTTGCTAAGTTGCCCATGCTATCCTCAAGCTTGCCATCTTTCTGCCTCATCCTTGCGAGTAGGTGGGGTGAGAGGGGTGCAAAAGTGTACTAGCCCTAATCACCTCTTATAAGCTCCACTTTAACTGTAGGACATTGGCCATTAAGTTTCAACACCTGAATTTTAGAGGGGACACATTCAAACATAGCATTGTATCAATAGAGTACAATTTCATTATCTGCATGGATTTGTAAATTCTGTCTTTTCAATAACACTAAAAAAAAGGTTGAACTAGAAATGGAAAACATAAATCGTAATGTACCTTCTCATATTTAGAAAAAAGTTTGGGTATGAATGTTCAAGGAACATGCATAATTTGAATCACTTAAAATGTAATATTTTAAACTTTCACTTTTTTCCATTTTTCTTCTTTTAACTTTGCCACCTACCATGCCTCACCTGAAAGCTTTGTGGTGATTCCACTAGAATTGTAGGCAGAGGATATTTAATCTAGTTTTATATGTTAGAGGTATAAGCAAAGAAGCAAAATAATTATTATCCCTTGTCCTTCATTCTGTCAGTAAGTTGCAGTCATTTTTGCTACAACATCAGACTTTCTTGGAAAAATGTGAGACTTGGATGGAATTCCTGGTGCAAACGGAGCAAAAGTTAGCTGTAGAGATTTCAGGCAATTATCAGCAACTTTTGGAACAGCAGAGAGCACATGAGGTAAGTTGTGCCTGTAGCTTTGGGGGTTAACAAAAATGTTGCAGGCCTTTACAAGGTGCTATAAAATGCCACGTGGGCAAAACAAAATTCTGTACCTTTTCTGCTCGAATGAATATATAGTTTCAACTTTCTTAAGCTTGAGGTTTTAGTATCTTGATTACAAAAATGTGCACAGTTCCCAATTGCATCTTTATTTATTTTTCTTATATAGGCATGTGTCAGGCATCAACACTTGGCAAAGTATGTATAGTCCCAGAATTGTCATTTAAAGCTATTTACTGGCAGGGCTTGGGTAAGAAGGAAAAGTAGAAGGAATGCAGGAAGCTAGACAATTTTTGAATTGCATTATAAAGTACTTTAATATTGCCAAGGCTAACTGTTTCAGAAATGGTGCTCCAATCAGAAGTCTTTGATAAATAAAATTATCTGTTCTTTAAAAAAACATATATGAATTTTTAGCCAGGCATGGTGAAATATGCCCATAATCACAACACTGGGAGGTCAAAGCACAAGGACTGCAAGTTCAAGGTCAGCTTGGGGAAGTTGGTGACTTAATGAGACCTTGTCTCAAAACTTAAAAAAATTGTCTGGGGATACATCTCAGTGTAAAGGCTCTAGATTCAATCCCAATATCACACACACACACACACAAAAAGGCAAATACAAATTCTATACCCAGAAATCAAGCTATCAGGTCTCCAAGTGTACCTCTTTATCAAACTATATTATAATTATTTCTCAGGAAACACCGAGAGCATAATCTACAAAAACTGAATTAATTTGCCAACACTTTGTCTCTATTTTGCTATATATTAGCATGGTTAGGTTGCTCTACATGCTTATAAAATGCACATGGAGGTGTAAGATTTATCTTAGACTAAGGGGCAAAAAATCAAAACTTAAGAATGAAATTAGTCTTAGAGCATTTTGCTCAAATTTCAACAATACAGAATTTAAATATATATAAGATATTTCTTAAATCTAGTTTTGCTGAATTAACAAATGACAAGATAAAAGACGGGGGTCAAAACAACAATGACATATCGCTTCACACACACTAGGATTGCTACCATGAGAAAGATAGCGATGGTGGGGTGTAGGATACTGGAACCCACCTATGTTGCTGATGAGAATGTAAAGTGGTGAAGCTACTTTAGAAACAGTTTGACAGTTCCTCCAAATGTTAAACAGAGAGTTACTCTAAATGTCCAGTAATTCTACTTCTAGATATTTGCTCAAGAGAAATGAGAACGTATCCACCCAAAAACTTGTATAAGTATTGTGTTCACAGTGACATCATTCGTTACAGACAAAAAATGGAAGAAACCCAAATATCCATCAACCAGAAAAATAAAATGTGCCATATGAGCAATACAAAAGAATAAGTTACTGATGCACATTACAGCATAGATAAAATTTTCAAACATTATGTCAAATGAAAAAACTGGTCACAAATGACCACATATTACATGATCTCTTTTATACAAAGGATCCACAGTGAGCAATCCACAGAAACATGAAGTAGCTTACATGTCACTTAGAGCTAGAAGTTGGGAGGAAATGGGGAATAATGGCTGATGAGTAAAGTTTCTTTTTGAGGGGATTAAAATGTTCTATAATTAATTGTAGTGTTGTGTCTACAAATCTGAAATATAATAAATGTCATTAAATTAGACGTTTAAATGTGTGATTGTGCCGAATTATATTTCAACACGCTGTTTGAAAAAATAATGGAAATAATTTCAAAAGACTCTTCTATTGAGTTTTTTATTAGTGAAATAATTTTATTAATGAAACTGAAAAACAGTGAGTGCATTAACTTACTTTAGTAGGTGCTTTTCGGAAAAAATATGAGAAACATAAGTCTACTTTTAGTCATTTAGTTTTATTAAACCAAAAGCTAAACTTTATCTTCAAGTCTATCTTAATTGCTGATTTAAAGATAAATTATTACTACCCTGCAAGATTTCACATATACCCTATTTTAACTGGAGATACTTTTTATAGCCTGGCTAAAACCAGAATATTTGGAAAAATCATCAGAGAATTGATCACTAAAATTAGGAACTATAAATCATATTCTTCTCCTTTGAAATTATAGTTGTTTCAAGCCGAGATGTTCAGTCGTCAGCAGATTTTGCATTCAATCATTATTGATGGGCAGCATCTTCTAGAACAAGGTCAAGTTGATGACAGGTAGGATCTTTGATAAATTATTATGAAGAAAGGTTCCCGTAAATTAGTCATTTTCTTTTTAATGAGTAGATTAGAGGGCATGTATCCAATCTTCCTAAGGCAATTGTACTGTCACAGAGCCTCAGTAATTGGAGAAAAGCTTGTCTGAAACTCTGAAATGAGTGTGTATTGAATCTTTTTAGAGAACTGCTATTATATGATATGAAGGACATGCAGTAATTGGAAATCACCTAGCCAACCTTCGCTAGTCCTCTGTAGGGACTGGGATTAATGAATAGATCAGAATGAATTGTATCAATGGTTTATAAACAGATGTTTCTAATGTTCTTGTACAATTACAGAAATTTTGTTCCTAAAAGGAGCCTAGATATCACTAGTCCATCTCTCCTACTTAGGGATGAAAAACCTGAAACCTACAAATGTGAACTGATTTGACCAAGGTCACCTAAATAAATAGCAGCAGAATTAGGCTTTGTGCTTCTGTGTCTGGTTTGTAGTCAACACTGGAATTATACTAACCGTCTTCCTTCTGTTCCCTGTTTGAAAATGATTTATGACCTTAAGCCAGGTTTCATTCACCCTAAAATCCTTCTTGCTCTTTATTTATGTAGCAAATAGACTCAAAGGTAAAAATCAGCTTTATAGCATGTGAATTGGCAATTTCATACAATATTTACATCTCCTAAGAATAATATTTACTTGACATCATCTATTTTCCATGGTGCTGTTTGGGGAATTAACTTTATTTATTTTATTTCATGTGTACATCTTTCTCATATGTAGGCCCAACAGTTGTGATTAAGATTATTGTCTTTTTTTAAAAAATAAGAAAAGAAATCATTTTTATTAAAAGTTTTGTTTTTAATGTTTTGGAAGTAATTTCAGTTTTAAGTGGATATTTCTTTGGAAGTACATGAAAGATTTTCATGGTTAAGTTGGAACAACAAAATGTGATATTGTGTTTATTTTATTCTGTGCAAGCCCAACATAAATGTGAGCTACACTGATAATTTAAGACCTTCAAAATAACACCAATTCAAGTGCAATTAACTTTTATCTTTTTTTTATCTTTTGCTTTATCATCCTTTGGCCAACTCTATAGCAATATTATAAACACGTAATTAAGTAAAATAAAAATTGAAAATCCTATATAAGCCAACATCTGTTAAATTTTAAATGCTAACATTTAGGAGGAAAAAATGAAAATGAGAGAGTTCGGCCTGAGAATAAAGAATTTTTAAATTTGCACATGAAAAAAAAGAAAGAAGAAAAATCAGATTATAGCTTGTTGTCAACAGGAGGGCTCAGATGAGAAATACGTTTGCATTCTAAAAGCTAGTCTATGAGTCTTGTTTTTTAGAGCATCACTTTCGGTGCTGAGATGTTGTGTTTTAGTAGTTGCTCACATTGGCAGGTAGATCAGCACAGCCTAGTTGTACACTGTGAAGACAAAGGCATTGAAGAGATCTTGGATGATGACGTGAGGTGAAAAGCAACATGCTCTGGGCTAGTCACAAGCCTGGGAGTTATGCGTTTCTGAGTTACAGATGCTTATAACTCTTAAGAAGTATCATGAAGCCAATTCACATTAGGACTCTACAGTGGTACCTCCTCAGTTCACAAACTAAATTTTTTCCACGATTCAGGGGAAAATAGCATGGTTGTGTTCATCACCCAATGTGGAGTTTGCAAATGGCAGCATACTTTTGCTGAACACTTCTGTTTGTGAACCAAATTGTTCACAAACAAAAGCATTTGTGTACCAAGGAATTACTACAGATGGATGGACAGATGGATAGATAGATAGACAGATAGATAGATCAAACTTTCCTTTCCTAAGCAGAACTTATTAAAATCTAGATAGTTACCTTAGTGACCTAATTTTAAAATGAAAGAGCATAGGAAATTTTCCTAGGGTTTACAAGTACATTTTATTTTTAATACTGGCATTGTTAGCTTTCACTACATATGCTTTGTTTGTATGAGTCGAATCATAAATAGGTTTTTGGAACTTACAAGCACACCTGATTATAAAGTCAAAGTTCACAGTGGCCCAAGATAATAACATAGATGTCGAGAATAAATCCAATTCAGTTTGACCCTACGCCCAAGAGAGAAAAATATATCTGAAGAATACAAACAAATACAGTAACAAATACAATAGAGAAGGCAAGTACTTTTTCACTTTAAAAATCAAATATGTAAAGAAACCTGGAGGCTACAAACTCATCTGGACAATGTGTATGAGTCAGTTGTGAGCCACAATTTAAATGATAAATAAAAATGAATTACTACAAATATTTTTAAGGTAGAAAATACAGAGGTAGGAAGAAAATATTTAAGAATCCTAAGGTTCTTTTGCCAAAAATTGGGAGTACTCAATTAAAATTAACTCTCTTTAAATATATGAATGACCTTTATAGAGACCAAGATAACTAGGATCATTTTCGTTTTTCTGAAAGCAAAGTTAAATTGGCCTAAAATGTAGAAAGGAAAAGTTAGATTAATATGTGGAATAATGTGCTAGAACATTGGAGATATTGATTATCAGCAATACCAAGAACATTTACAGATTACAGTTTTTTAAAATACCTAAAAAATAACATCATGTGGCTTAAGTGGCTTATAATTCTCACAGCCATAACGGTTTTGTCCATCCAAAGTGCCTTTGATTCTAGCTGAAGACAGAGTTTATAAATAAGCTCTGCCCAGCATGTTTTCCTGTCGTGAGACATACAAGGTGCTGTCACAGATGTACTGCAATGAGCTCAGGCTTTGGGCTCTTCCCATGGCCCTCTCCCTACCTCTTGTGCACTCAGGAAGAGGGCCATTAACATTGACCCTGTTGGAGATTTGCTTCCAGCCTACACTGACATCTGAAAGTGCTCATCATCTGCAGATAATTGGTCGTTTAGTTTGAAAAATTACTTGCAATAGACCCAATATTGGCATAATATTTGAAGTCATCTGCCTTAGACCACTTCTCAAGCAGGGCTTATTGTCATCAGAAATTTACACATAAGCTGATTCTGTTACTATGTCCAAGACGACAGTTCTTTTATCGTGTGATTACATCTTCCTTAGGGATGAGTTCAACCTGAAATTGACCCTCCTCAGTAATCAGTGGCAGGGAGTGATTCGCAGGGCCCAGCAGAGGCGAGGGATCATTGACAGCCAGATTCGCCAGTGGCAGCGCTACAGGGAGATGGCAGAAAAGCTTCGTAAATGGCTGGAGGAAGTGTCCTATCCCCCCATGAGTGGTCTCGGAAGTGTCCCTGTACCATTGCAGCAAGTGAGGACCCTCTTCGATGAAGTGCAGGTAAGAAAACACACCTCTTCTGCTCACACCTCTTCTGCATTTCCACTGAAACCTTCGTCTTGGCTTCAGTCCTTCCAAAGGACTCTGTAGTGACACTGAAATTAGGAAAAACATTGTTATCCAGTGTCAACCAAACTATGAAAAGTGATTGCACTGAAAAGACTGCATTGAATGGAGCGGCTGGAGCACACCCCAGTCTCTTCCAAAGACTCCATCACTTCCCACACCAAGGCCCACTGCAGCTCCTTGTGCCCAACGTGGGATGGAAAGGGAATGGATAAGGAAAAAAAGTGCTAATTATGTATAAAACTCATGAGCAGCTTAAATGCATAATTTAAGCCCTCCAGAGAAGGCAAAAGACTTAGTCCTCCAGCTCTTTGTTCCTTCTCATCTAGACCCTTACTTTTACCAGCCTGGGAATTGGGGCTCCCACATCTGAAATAGATGCCTCCTAGTACTCTCCTCAGTCCTTGCCCATATATTCTGTGGGCTCCACCTCCTTTGAAGGTTGCTGTTTTCTGGTTCTTTCTCCTCCGACCTTCTCCGGGAAAACTCATCTACAGACATGACCTCAACTTCCTGCTACCATCAGAGAAGAGGCAAATTGGTATTTCTGGTCACAGTCACCTGTTGAGGTTCAACTCCTGTATCCGACCACCTTTTAGATTTGTATCTATGTGTGTTGCAGATGTGTGGAATCCTGTGGATTCCTAACAGAGCCTGTTGTCTCTGTACCAAACGCTCCATTTTCTGTGTCCCCAGTCCAAGGAAATATTATCACCAGCTATCCTGTCTGTTGGTCCAGGAACCCCAGAGTCACTAGAGAGCTGTCCTCTTCTTTGCCTCTCTCCATATCTAATCTGCTTCAAGACTCCATCCCTGTGGCAGATGCCTTAAGTGAGAAACTCATAACTTCTCCCTGAATAGACAGTACCTTCTTAATCTGTTTTAACATACCCAAAACGTGCCTTTCTTGCACTCCCTTTTCTACCCTCTTCGGTATGCTTTTCCTGAAAGTCCAGTCTCAACAAGTCACTTCCCTGTTGAATATTCTGCCCATCAACCTCAATGAATTTTACTATTAAAAAATTTTTTTCACGCAAAATGTGGTCTTGCCTCATTTTTGGCATTCATCCCATATTCCAGCCGCTGGACACTCTGTCCTGTTTCCTGAATTCTTCATGATTCTCTTTGTGTAGTGAATGAGCCCACACTCACTCCCTGTAGGAAGGTGTGCTCTTCTCCACCCCGGGGTCTCACTCATCACTTCTTGATCTGGTTGCATTCAAGTGACTTTCAGCCAGACTTTCCCACTGTGAGGAAGCATCTCTGTGACCCCCCATGCTGGGTCAGAGGTCCCTCTGTATTTCCTGAGCATCTGTTTCATAGAGCAGATTTCATTTTGCAGCATGTGACTGTGTTTAACTTGAGAGCAGAAAGGAAGAGTCTATCTGATGTACTCTCCTCATTCATGTGAAGTCTCAGCCCAGCAAATGCTTTCTGGAGGAAAGAGGACATGCTATGCACACTAACATGTAGAGTCGTTTAAAAATACTAACAAGGGAAATGCTGGAGAAAAAGTGAAAAAGTGAAAAAACGGGTTCCTTTCAGTTCAAAGAAAAGGTGTTCCTGCGGCAGCAAGGCAGCTACATCCTGACCGTGGAGGCTAGCAAGCAGCTCCTGCTCTCGGCAGATGGTGCAGCTGAGGCCACCTTGCAGGCAGAACTCACTGAAATCCAAGAGAAGTGGAAATCCGCCAGCCTGCATCTGGAGGAGCAAAAGAAAAAACTGGCCTTCTTGTTGAAAGTAAGTTCAGTTAACAGGGCCTTTTTAAGAGTTGTACTATTTTCTTTCATTGTTTTTCTGCAAATCACATCATACAAGATCATTGAGTAATACCCTGTACTATCTCGATCTTCTGTGTTTTATTGGACCTTGTCCTATCCTGCATGACTGGCAAAGATTCCCAATTTTCAGCACTTAATTTTCTAGGAAAATCCTCCAGCAAAGTAATTTAAACTCTAATACGATGATCCAAGCTATGAATTCTGATTAATGGCCTGTGCTAAGCCTTAGCCGTGTGATTACTTTATAAAGCCAGACAGAAATTCAAAGAGTAAATTCCACTCCTTAACCTAAGACTCTAAAATGGTTTCGAGATTAATATCTTGTATTTTATAGCAGTGAAAATCCAATTTAAAAAGATACTCTATTGGTCTTCGTTTATCCAAACAGGTTTCTGTGTAATAAAATTTTCAGAACTTACATAAAAGCCTTAGTTGGATACAGATTGCATAGTGAGCACTCTGTAAGCTTAAGGAAATTTAGATTTATCCACACCTTGCACAAGGATCCTTTCTCCCTCACGCGCAATGCGTAATTAAATGGGCAGTTTAAAAAGTACATGAGCCCTAAGCTTAGAGAAGTCCAAGTTTAATCTCATAGTGGGATGTAGCGCAGTGGTAGAATGCTCGCTGAACATGCATGAGGCCCTGGGTGCAATGACCAGTGCTGCAAAAAATGAAAAAGAGATGAAACAATCCATGTAACCTTATTAATGCAACCTACCTAAATGTCTATAGAGTAGATATAGTTCCACCTCCTTTATATATTGTGGGGTAACTGACACATATTAAAAACCAAATAAATGATAGTAATTATCATTTTTCATGTTGCCATTATTTATTCATAATCAATGCTTGCATGAGATTATTAAATATGGTTTATCGCTTGTTTGGATGAAAGGTAATACATAACTAAAGTTAATGAAACACATTTTGCTTTTTCTGTGGCTTTAAGTATACACATCCATTGGGTTCATGCTACTGAATTTAATTTAATAATGGATTACCTTCCAGGTAGGAACCACTCAAAAATGCCACTAAGCATCTATCAACCACTATTATTTGCACACAGCACAACTCACCAGTAATATAATATGCCTTATTGGGTTTTTTTGTTCTTCTTGCTGTCAGGAAAGGATATAAAATGTTGTAACTCACTTTGTGGCAAACATGTTAATCATATATTTTTCTTTGTGATGTGATTTTTGGAGATATTCCAAAGACTTATTAAGGCATGATGTCTGAGTCACTGCCTTTGCTTGTCTTGTTTCTCTGTCTGTTCATGTATAAAACATCAACTTTGATAGATGTTTGCAGACCACGACATGAAGTTATTTCCTTATAATTCATGCAGTAAAAAGACTTGATTATAGCTTCACAATCTGAGTTATCTTTGGAAAAGGAAATCCCTAGTCTTCTTTTGTTAGAGTTTATTTTTATTTTTAATATCTTGTTTGTCTAGGCAAGTATGAATCTAAATTTTAATGTTTATACAGCCTCATTTTATTGTCTTTCTCCACAGCTATAATCTTTGTCTATTTTTAGCTCTTAACCTAATACTCTGAGTACACATGCCAAAAATAGTCATCATAATTCCATATCTTGTTCTCCTGCTTCATTAATATCTCTTAATTTTGTCATAAAAACAAGTAGCAGATCTTATCTGTGTTAGCTCTTGACTACATCTTGGTAGATTTCAGGGCATGTGCTGACTTAATGAAGATGTTGTACAGTTTAATCAGGAAAAGGATCTTTTCGTCTATCCTCGCTATGCTGAGCGTTGACAAACTAAAAGTAGCTTGGGAAGACAGAGATATTATACACTGAAGGGAAATGGGAACAAATCTGAAAATAACAGAAGAAAGATGTTGCTTTTTGGATTGGGGGCTTTTGTTTATTTCTTTGGTTCTGTTCATTAGGAAAGGGGGATGTGATCATGTACTCTAGGAAATTCTGTGAAAGGTTTAAAGAAAATTGGTATTTAAGGGCCACATTCTCAGTTCAGTTAGAAAACAAAAGCCACTTTGAGTAGAGAGATTTTACAAAAGGTGGCTGTAATAACAGAAGTTGTGGGTTACTGTGCTAAAAACAAGACATCAGTAGAGTAGGTAGGAAGACTCCAAACAGGAAGTCTGAGACTAAGACTGAGACTCTGTAAAGGAAAATGTAGCACTATTTGAAACTGTGGGCTACTCAGTGATTCGAGCTGTGAGGCCAGCTGCCTTTCTCTGGAGCTTAGTAATTTACCGTGTGCAGAAGATGACCAAGGACTTGGAGACCAGGAATGGACAGTACTGAAATAGGCAGTACTAAAAAAAAGTGAGGCCTGGTTAGTTGAACTTAATTTTCAGTGCCACCAACATTTTAATTTACCGTGTGCAGAAGATGACCAAGGACTTGGAGACCAGGAATGGACAGTACTGAAATAGTCAGTACTGAAAAAAGTGAGGCCTGGTTAGTTAAACTTAATTTTCAGTGCCACCAACATACCAGATCTGAGTTAATTTATAGAGTTTTGCAGAGCCAATCTCCATCATGGTCCCTTTCATTTTCTTTTTAATTTCAAAACAAATACAAGGCATCACCATCACGAGAGTAGATTCAGGTAATAAATGGGGTATAGAGAGTAAAAAATGAAATTTCCCTTACCCTACCATCCACATTCTACTCCCTTCCCCAAAGGTAGCCAGTGTCACCAGTTCCATGTCACCTTTCCAAGCAGAACCACAGGAGGCCTGCTCCTTCCTCCTGAGCATGTGCAGATCCCCATATCCGGGGCGGTCACTCCCTGCTGCTCATCCTGCTGCATTCCCCTGAGCACTTATCACCACTGTGCATACTGGATGAATGTATTTCTTTTATTGCACAGTTGCTCTCTGTTTCCACTTCTTTTGGGAATGAGTTTTCTGTGTTAGACACTTAACCCTTCACTAACCCTTAGCACTGATAAGACAAAGGTGGTCAAAGCCACTGGTGTCACCACTGAGTGTTCCCCCTCTTGTGATCACTCAGACCTACTGGCTCATGCTGCTTGTGTGGTTAGTTGAATCACAGTCAGGGTTACAGTTTTACATTCTAGTCCCTTTGACATATTCATGTATATTTTCATCCTGAAAGAGAGTCTATATTCTTCTCTTTTTTCATGTCCCTGTAACATGGGTGGAAAATGTAGACACTGAGTGTATCTGTGGGTGAGTGAGGCTAGGGAAGAGGCAAAATACTGAACTGGTACACCCACCTGGGCTCATAGATTTGAGGTCCAGTAACATTTTGAAGTAGCCAGGATTTAATGGGCATTGTGTTTGGTGCCTGGACACTCACTGCTTACTTCAATCACCCAGTAATTTCAGAGTTGGTATTGTTTCCATTTTTATAAGGAAAATTGAGATGTAGAGGGTCATATGGTTATTAAAGCCACACAGTTGAACAGTAGCAGAGTTCAATTTGAACTCCTCTTCCTACATCCTGACCATGCTGCCCAGGCGTGAACACACCCTAATATTCACCAGTGTAACTTTAATTCTTTCTCTGGGTATAAAAAAGAGTGTTTTATTCCCACGTTTTAAAAAGTGTTTTTCTGTTTGTTTTTTTCATTTTAGCCGAAAGGAAGGCAGGGAGGGAGGGAGGGAGGGAAAAGAAGGAAGGCAAGGCAAAGCAAGGCAATGAAAGAAAGAAAAGGAAGGAAGGAAGGAAGGAAGGAAGGAAGGAAGGAAGGAAGGAAGGAAGGAGGGAAGGAAGGAAGGAAAGAGGCTAAAGAGAAGGAAGGGAGGGAGGGAGGGAGGAAAGAAGGATAGAAGAAAAGAGAAAAATAAATTCATTCAATTTTTTTTTCTCTTCCATTATAGGACTGGGAAAAATGTGAGAAAGGAGTAGCCGATTCTCTGGAGAAACTAAAAAGTTTCAAAAAGAAGCTTTCCCAGACTCTACCAGATCACCACGAGGAGCTCCACGCAGAGCAAATTCGGTGCAAGGTAAGGGACAGGGTGGAGGCGTCCTCATGATCCATCCATGAGCTTCTGCTGGGACAGTGCCTGTGAAAGAGTAACCCAGCAAGCTCCTGTGGCTACCGGTAGACAGGGTCCTAGAGGAGTACGTTAGAGCAGACAGCTTTTGGGTGAAATTTGCTTTACTGATTCATTGCAGCATAAAACTATAGTTTATGGCTCACCCAGGGGAAGCAAATGAAAATGTAAAACGCAACATAAAAGATATTTAAAACTGAGTAAGAGAGATAAAAGCACACACACTGGGAGTTGTTTTATCAGAAGAGAATAAGAAGAATAAGGATTGACAGACAGGCTGGAGAATCTAGAGATAGTGGCCCTCAGAGGAACATGCCCTGCTCTTCAGCTCTGTCTGCAAAGATAGCAGAAAAAAAAATAGCTGATCTCAGCTATCTCACAGTCACCAAATCCTTCAATTACTCAGGACTCTAGCTACCTAAAGATTGTAATCAATACGTCAAAGCATAGTTGGAAGCAAATCAGTGCTAACACTGACCACTCCCTGCATTCTGAAGTCAGGAAGCCCAAATTGATTTAGTAGCTGTAGGATTTATTGTGTTCACACCTGTGAAGCCAAGTAGAGACCTGACCAGCAGTCAGGTGAGCCGTACACCACTTGTATTGAAAGTACCTTTATAAATGGTTTCTTTCATATTGTATGTGTCTTTGTAGTCCCTAATCATTTGCAAGTTACTACTCTAGGGTAATTCTTGTTAAAATTGTATATATACTTCAATTACTTGGATTTTAACCAGAAGTTCTGTGCTTCACTTTGACTAAGAAGTTATAAGCATTTAAAACAGATGCATTGTTAGCATAAGTCTAGAAATCGTGAAAAGTATAGCTAAAGAATTTTGCCTTCAATACTAAAATTCAAAGATATTCTTTGAAACTTGAAAAGACAGAGTTAGGAAAAATAAAAAGGGACATACAATGTATCATGGGTGGGGAGTGAAATTTTATTTTGAGGTATTACATTAAGAAGTATGTGAAGGTCATGAAGGTTCAAACATTGATTTTAGCCTATGACTGTCAATTTAGAAGAAAAAAAAATTAGAAAAAATTCTAGTAAGTAGGAAGGGGCATTTATCAGACTCCTCCTTGGTGCCAGTAACTGTACCAGTGTTATTTCAGTGGATGGCACTCATACAAGCCCACGAGGACTTTCGTTTATATTCCTTGTGCAGATGAGAAGACTGAAGCATCTAGAAGTTTAATAACTTTTCAGAGTTAACAACTGTCAGTGTTGTCTGAATTTAAGGTTTGTATTTTAGCCATACCCACTTACCTAGTGAACAGTCTGAACCAGCTGGTTTCTGTTAATAGAGTTTTTATGTCTTTTTGAATCCTATACAACAAAACTGATGTTTGAGCTGGGGGAAAGAATTTAGTAAAATAATAAGAAACTCTCTACATTGGTGTAGTGATTGAATATGTCTAAACTATAAACAGAAACATTGCATATTTAATCCACCTGGAGAGTTCAGTCTTTCAGCCAGAAACTGTAAGCATGGGACCTCATTTTTCATGTCCCAGAATACTTCCCAATTACCCTGTTTTTTAGTTCTTAGATTAAAAGAAGGCATTTCCATCTAGGTTTGTGCCGCTCTTCTCCAAACCACCCTTATCAGCAAAACAAAGTAATTACCTAGGAAATTCAGGCTAAAGCCTCGTTTGCCTAAATTGCCTGCAAAGTTAGCCTCAAACAGTGCCTTTAATTACTTTTGCCTTTGGAAATTTGTCTCCTGTGTGAAGAGACAAAAGGAGACAGAATAAACCCTGTGAAATTCTCTATTCATATACTAAATTAGCTGGAATCTAAAAACAACAGTTGGCAGAGAATAGGAGCTACACAAATTGCAAAACTGGTCAGAGCATTGTAAAAACTAATGTCATTTCATTCAAATATTGTTACAAGTTTTTTTTGCTTAAATCAGTCTCCATACAAAATATTTTTTCAGTAACTGAAATCTCTGTGCACAAAATATATGTGGCCAATTATTTTAAATTTAATATTAATAGTACTAAATTTCCACCATTACATGTATATATCACCAAATGTAACAACTCAGCATTTGAAAATGAAAGTTAAATTTAGATTTTTCTTTAAAATATTTCATTACTGTAATTAGTAACTCCAAACAAAAAGAAAAGATAGGCTTAAAGTAAAGATCATTGCAGTAATGAAATTTTAGTTTAAGAAAAACCACGACAGTGAGATCAATGTGATGATAAGCAAGTTGTAGGGAGATTCTGCAAGCAGCCCTAGTATTTTGCTAGAAGAATTTGGCACTTATCAGATTAGATGGGAAGCAAATGAAGTAGATACCAAGATGGGTGTTCAGATAGAGTGTGATGGAAAGTGAATTTTATTAAGAGGGGCTTTCAAAGACTCCTGTGAAATTGATGACAATGGATGTGCATGGAGAATCTGGATTTTTTTTTTTTATTTGAATGTAGGAATTAGAAAATGCAGTTGGGAGGTGGACAGACGACTTGACCGAGCTCACGTTGCTGAGGGGCTCCCTTGCTGCCTACATCAGTGCTGATGACATTTCCATCCTCAACGAACGCATAGAGCTTCTGCAGAGGCAGTGGGAAGAACTGTGCCACCAGGTAAGACAAGTTCTGAGCCTGGAAATACTCATCAGGAGGGAAAACTGGGACATGACTGACTCTTTGTCTCCGGGAGTTTAACTCACACCTAAATAGATGCACCCCGTAACTCGTACTTCCTTTGTGGGCAAAGGAAGAACCCCGGGGTTATTGCCAAAGTATTTCAGATTAAGACACCTATACCTTAACATTGTATTTTGGATGCAGTCACACTGGATTCTCTTCCTTTCTCTTTCACTAGCTGGCGTAATATTTTTAAGAGGAAGCACAATGATGTGTCTCACAGTTGTTATTTTTTGCAAGGTAGATAATGGTGGTGTTTTCTATAAACATGCAAAGAAACATTGTTTAATTTGAAGTTTGCCAGCTGGTTTTGAATGTGGAAAATTTATCGTTACTCTTGACTTACTGTACTTGTTTCCCAGTGATTCATAAGTGTACAGTGTTGTTAGTCATACCTTATTGATATATTAAGTATCTTTCTGCACAATACTTTGGAGGAGATCCCACGTCAGGCTTTTAGTATTCTAAAGTTACTAAAGATTACGTACCCTATCCTTTGGGGCAATGACTTATGAAAAGGAAAATCCTTATAACAATATTTGAATGAGTTGCCATTAATTTTTGCAAGTTTTGACCAGTTTTGCACTTTGTGTAGCTCTTATTTTCTGCCAACTGTTGTTTTCAGATTTCAGATAATTTAGTGAGCAAAGAGAATCTCAAAGGGTTTATTTCCTCTCTCTTTGTCTCTTCACGTAGGAGACAACTTTCCAAAGGCAAACTTGAAACGGAAATGTTAGTGGAAAGGTAATGAGAAGGCTTTGTAGACAAACAGTAGTATCAAATAGGAGTACATTACATAAAATGAAAACATAGCCATATAATGAATAATTTTATAATTTTATAAAGGAAAGATCTTATCACAATATGTAAGTGGAAGATATTCAGTAGGTATACATAATGGCAAATCATCACAACATTGTTCCCTTACCTTGTGAGCTGTTCATCCAGCTTGCTTAATTTTGAGAAGAGTCCAACACTACTTAGTGTCTTAATAATTTCCAGCATATTAGGTGAAATGAAATTAGCCAAGATCCATTTCTATAGCTAATTGGTGCCCACAAAGGATTTAGAGAGGTTGCACTTCAGAACTCGGCTCCTATTTCCTTGACAAACCTGCAGGACTGTCCTCACTTAGGACCCTGAGGATGCTGCCTTTCCTGCCTGGGACGGCTACCTCCTCCCTTCTGAGTTCCTGACCAATTTTCTTTCACATCCCACAACCTCCTGCTTTTGAAATGCTAGGCTCACAGTATTTTCTTGATCCTGAGAATTCCCATGTCCTTTCCAGTCTGTGCCATCATTGTTATTTTGTAAACGTTTGTGATATGACTCCAAGAATGAGTCCATTCAGATACAGAGACCATTTCCCTGTATGGCCAGTGCCTAGAACAAATAAGTGCTTATTTTGTGTTGTTAATCATTACACCACAACGTCAATTTTGTGCCTTTATATTTATGTTCCTCTAAGGATAAAACAGTAAAAATACTTTTACCATTTTAGAAGTTAAGAAGAGTATGGTTATTAAATTACTCTAATCCAAGAGAACTGTTGCTGTATAACAGTGTCATGAAAGTATTCTTATTACTAATTCTTACATATATGTTGTAAGATTGCCTAGTAGAGTACATTAGATATATCTAGGCAATGGTCTGTTTGAAAATGCATTTTGGAAGTTGCAGTTGATAATATAATACGCTGTGAAGAAATTAATACCTCACACCTATGAATAGACTCAACATAAAGAACAGGAAGCTGATATAATATACAGTGTTTCTAGAACAGTTCATAAAATCTAAGTGGCCTAAGGCGAGAAGCTAAGGCATCTCGTACTATTTCAGATACCATTTCAGTGTATGGTAAATTATTTAAACTAGTGAGAGCCACGGTTTGCTGAGGTACCCAGCTATAATTTTTAAGGAGAGTCATAGACAAGTGTCTAGTTTTTTAGTTGTTTCCGGTGGACTTGAGTCAAGTATGAAACCACAACAGGAAATGAACCTGTCTCACTCTAAAAGTCAACACTTTAGTTGAACACAGCATTATCCCTGCAAAGGAGCAAGTAATCCATTCCATTCCTCACAAAGCAGCTGGTAAGAAGTCTGGAGTTGCTGGCGCTGCAGTGAGAACGAGGCAGGCAGGCTGTAAGTACGTGTCTCAAGGGGAGAATAAATGCGTCAAAGGATCCTGTGTTCAAATAAACTCCCAGGGGCTTGCTGTGCCTGCGGACAGCCAGGGGTTATGCTTGCTTTTGTTTGTTTTGATTAATCAAACTGTGTGTATAACATCTCTGCAATTGCTTGTTGTTTGGGGTTGTTTTTCCAAGTGTCGTGGCAAAACTGTTTGAGGTATAAAAGGATGTACTTCCTGTGCAGCTGTCTCAAACTTTGCAGATTTGTGCCCTTAAGAGAATATAAATTTGCGCTGAGCCTGCCTGATAAGTAATTTGAGGGTTTTGACTGAATTCAAAGAATATATATGTGTATGTGTGTGTGTATGTGGCCTAAATATTAGATGTATAAATAAAAACAAACAATACATCCTCCTTATGAATTTTTTTAAATAGTTTGTGGGCTAGGTTTGTATCCAAAGCCTGTAGTCTACTTGTTCATCCTTTCAGTTATATCTAGACAGTAAGAAAATGAAAGCAAAACTTTCATGGTGAGTTCAGGACTAAAAAGATATTTTCAAGTTGCTTGCTGGAGGTACTGAATACATGAGTGCCAAAGAGGAAAAAATTATGCATAAAAATAAAACAAACGAAAGCAGCACAGTCACATCTTCATTGGGGACCAACCCCTTTCTCCAGTGCTTTTCCTTGTCTGTGTCAGTATATAGGACAAGGCCTGGCACATAGAAGGACATAAACACAATGAACATTTGTGTAATGAGTTTGGGGAAAAACATGAGCTTCATTTGCAAGCGAGACTGGAGCTTAGAGAAGATGAATAATCTCACCTTAGTGCTGTCATCGCTAAGTGACAGAGACTGGCTTGAACCTCAACTGCATCGTAACATATACTGTTTTTTCCAGTACCCAGGATCAAACTCAGGACCCTGTGCTTGCAAGGCAGGCATGGTGCCACTGAGCTAAATCCCCAGCCCTGCTATTGTCACCATATTTGATTAAAATGTTATATTCAACCTGTATCAAAGACTTGAGCTTTGCTAGGCGTATCTTTTACTGACTAAAAACAGATGCCTCAAATTTGTCTCTCTCCTTGGGTCTGGAGCAGGAATAATAATATCTGCCTCTCACAGTAATAGATAATATCTTGTATTGTGTAGTCCTCCTCCCTGCAAACATTGGTGAGAGTGGGCCTAGCATTGATTTTTGGATTCCAGTCAACATTTGGGGGAAACTGCTCAGAGCCAGACAGATTCATCTGAGGTCTTACCGGCAGGTGTTTCTAGCCTGTTCATGGAAAACAGTTGCCAAGGTGAAAATACTGTTTCCTCTTACAATACCCAAAACTAGAATTTTTTTTAACTCTTTCCTCTTATAGTACCCAAAACTGGAAGCCAAAGCCTGGTGCTGGTGCTCTGTGATTAAAAGCAAAAATTCTCATCCACCAGAAAGTTCACAATCTTAGCATTCCAGCAGATTAGAGTCACTCTAGTCTGAGTCAGAGAGGAAAGGGGTGTAAATCATCCTGCTCTTCAACACCATCTGGAGGAGAGCTTACAGTAGGTCAAATGTGTTTACAGAACTGTTTTTTAACCTGTGTTTCCCGAACTTTCTCTATTTGGTCAGTCCCTACCTTAGGTGAGTTTACTGCTCTTTGACAGTTACATATTATTTTGCCTCAAAGAAAATTGCATGGTAAACTGAATAATGTCAATGGAAAAATACGTGATGGACTCATCAGTGACACCTGATCCAAAGGATTTTTTTATCTTAAAGGATTATATCAAAGGAATGAATTTTTAATGGCAATATTTCACAAACTGTAGTAGATTATGGGGCTCGCTATATGGACAGCTCAAACTTCTAAGACTGGTCATTGGAAAGATAACCAGAATCATAGGTAATTCCCAACTGTTTTCTCAGATATAGAATCATGAACGTTTGGGATTGCATGGAACTGTAAATATTATCTGCCTAATTATTAACAGAGCCAACCCTAAGTAGGATCAATAGCCAGAAAGTATATAGCATCTTTAAAATGTTTACATCTAAAAAAGGATATGCATTTAAAGTACATCAAAAATAAATGAGTTGATAGATTAAGAAATATATGCTTTAAAGTAAAATGTAGCAAAATATTAACAATTTTAGATTCTAGGGCATATGGCCTTGATTAGCACACGATTCTTTGAATTTTTATTGGTTTTGAAATTTTTCATTATAGAATGTTGAGAAGAGACAGGCAGTCTAGAGGTGTGTATTTAATGCTGTGGAACAAACAGCAGAATGTAGGTAGCATTAATAGATCTGTGTGGAAGGCCATGTCCAAACCATCTTATCACTCACCATGTTTTGTTTGTCATGGCATAGTTTACTCCACCGGAAATATTACTTGTCAACTCCACCACCATTGCAGAAGCAAGAGTATTATTATGGAGTCTGAGTTTGAGAAAGGATCATTAGTCCTAGATATAAAGAAGCAAACCCACTGTCTATGCTGTACAAACCAACACTTCAAACTCAATAATAAAAAAAAAAACTCATTTTTTAAAATGAAGGAAAGGAATGAACTTAATAGTAAGAAGCAAACCCACTGTCTATGCTGTACAAACCAACACTTCAAACTCAATAATAAAAAAAAAATTCATTTTTTAAAATGAAGGAAAGGAATGAACTTAATATATTCTACAAAGAAAATATATGAGGTGTGATTAAAAAACATCTACACTGTTGAAAAACTTAATATAGTAAAAGTCACATTGCCAGTGTTCCCCTTCCCTTGCTACAAACAACCTACTCTTTCATTCTTGCCACTTTCTGAAGCTGTTCTTGAAGACTTCTTTCCTGATTGTCTTTAGTTGTGCTCTTATGACTGAGTTGGTGCCTTGAATTGATGCAAAACATTTACTTTTCCTGGTCATTTTGATCTTGCGGAGAGATAAATGTTCTATGGTGCCCGATCCAGTGTATAGATGGGTGAGAACACACCATGATTTTCTCCCAAACCTGCTTTTCTATTGACTGGCACTCAACAGTGGCATTTGCCATACTTCTGATCACACCACATGAAGACATGAAAGAGAATTTCCAGAGCTACTGCAGAAAGTGACAGAAATGTTAGGGTAAATACGTTTGAAGTGAGGAGTACTTTGAGGGGAATTGATGACAATGTATGTTTTGCTGTCATCATGTTTTTGAATTTAAACATTTACCTTATATTTTGATCATGCCTTGTACAAATGTTCAAGAAATATATGAGATGATTGTCAACACTATGAGTTGTTAGGAAAGTGCAAATCAGAACCACAGTGAGAAAGCACTGTACTCCCACTAGCATGGCTATAATAAAAAAGATGGGTAAGAGTAAGTATAGATAAGGGTGTAGAAAAATGGAATGGTAATGCTGGTGAGAATGTAAAATGGTGCAGCTACTGTGGAAAAGATCTGCGATGTTACTATATTATATTATATTATATTATATTATATATATTTCTAGTTATATTCCTAGGTATGTATCTTAAGAGAAATGAAAACATCCGCACAAACGCTCGTGCCTGAACATTTGTAACAGCATTATTCGTAGTAGAGAAAAAAATGGAATTGACTCAGAAGTCCATGATCAGAAGAGTGGATAAATAAAACTCTCTATAACCATACAATGGAACGTATTCAGCAACAAACATGGGGAAACTACTGACACATGCTGCAGCACGGATGAACCTTTCAAACATGCTAAGTGAAAGAAGCCAGTCAGAAAGGGTCACATACCACGTGGTTCCACTTATATTAAATGGCCAGAATATGCAAATGCTACAGGCAAGGACTAGGAGATAGAAAGGGAGAGAATAGAAAGACTGGTGAAGACTACGGGGTTATTTTCTGCAGTGGGCAGGGAGTAAAACTTTTCTGAAATTGACTCGGGATGGTTGTGCACCTCAGTTGTTGTACCAAAAACCAGTGATATGCATGTGTTTAGCAGAAATTCTGGGTCAATAATGTTATGTCAAAAACGAAGGAAAAGAAACAAAATTAAATAAAATTTTTTAAATGAGGAGTAGCAAAACAAAGGAACTCTTCCACAGTTAATTCATCTAGAGAGACTGAATCAGGAAGCACAATATCACCTTCAGGCTGCTCTCCTGCTGCTCTAGACACCTTGAAGCTTAATTAATTCTCCTTCTTTCCTTCCTCTTCCCCTTCCCTCCCTACTTATATTTTTATTTTCTTTTTCCCTTTCTTCTTTCTCCTTTTTTCTGCCTTCCTGTCCCTCACATTTTCCTAGTCTTCTCAGTTTCTCCCCTCTGTTTTAGTCCTAGTACGCTCACGGGTCATGTGTCAGATCCAAGCTAAACCGATTGTTTTGTGGAGTTGGATTTTTCAGAACCTTCAACAAATGGATGTGCAAGTGGATCTTCAGAAAATAAACAAGGGTTCAATATCTCCTACTTGCAAATGTTGGCAAGTTCTGTATTTCAGGCAGCAGTGGCCTACGGGGAGGCACAATCATTGCTCATTTGAATCCACCCAGCACTGGTTAGCACTATTATCCTGGGAGTGTAAGGTTCTCTGTTGTTATCCTTTTGCACATTCTCCCACTTTAAACCTTCCAGGTTTCCTTAAGGCGGCAGCAAGTAGGTGAAAGACTGAATGAATGGGCAGTGTTCAGTGAGAAGAACAAGGAGCTCTGTGAGTGGTTGACTCAGATGGAAAGCAAAGTTTCTCAGAATGGAGACATTCTCATTGAGGAGATGATCGAGAAGCTCAAGAAGGTGGGTGTGCCTGGCTGCATCTTTTCAACATGTGCAAAAGGTGGCTTTACAATTACTTCTTGTCAAAGGAACACTGTATTTTTATTTTATCTTTTTAGCGTGAAATAGACTTGCATAAGAAGGCCTACTTTATATGCAAAATATATAGAATACTTTACATTTGTGATGAAAGAGATGATCTGATATTTATGCAACAGAAACCATTTATGTGCATTCATTTTCTATTATTTTGTTTTTCTATTTTGGTTTTTAGAGACAAAAAAAATCACTAGAGAGGAGCTAAAAGGAAAATATTCTTAGGGTAAATTAAATGGAAAATTTCTCTATAAAACACGGCCCATACTGTATCAATAGTAATGAAGACTTTCTGAGAATTTTGACTTCTTGTTAGATTTTAGTTAAATATGTATTTAAAAGTTTATACATTTCTTTGGATCCAGATATCTTTCATATTTATATAGGACTGATGAAATTGAGTAGCACTTTGAAATGTTTAGATACTTCAGGTAAAGTTTCCACATTATTTTTTAACAAATAATCATTTCAGTATTAGTTTAGTTTGTTTCAGGTTGGTACATATCACTATCTGATATACAATGTGCTTTTCATATTTACTTCCTTGTCATCTATGTGGAAGGGAAGCCCATGGGGCAGCAAGCCCCACTTGAAGCCTGGACTTTGTTTTTTTCACCAGATCCCTGCACCTAGAGCAGTGCCCAACTTCTCATAAGAACTCAGAACTTCTAGAAAGGGAATAGCTGGGTCAAAGCTATTGCACTTCTAGGCACCTTCCCAACGGAGTTAAAGTCATCATGTAACACTGACACACGCGTACCAATGTTTACAGTGGCACAGCTCACATTAGCTAAACCGTAGAAGCCACCCATATAGCCATCAACAGATGAATGTATAAAGAAAATGTGATATTTACACACAGTGGAGTACTACTCTTCCAAAAAGATAAACTTGAGCCATTTGTAGGAAGACAGATGCTACTTGAAACCATAATGTTAAGTATAATAAATCAGACACAGTTTTAAATATTGCATAGTTTCTCTTATACGAGAAACCTAATTTATAAGTAAAAAGCAAAATAAAAGGCAATAGGAAATAGATCTTTCTCACATAGGAAGGGGATCAAGAGACAAGGGAAGGGAAGAAGGAGGGAAGAAAGGCTATGAAACAAGGAATTCAGATGTGTTATGTACTAAATCCACACATGGAATGTAAGCATTTTGTACTACAAACATGTACTGATAAAAAATTAAAAAGAACTCCAAATTCAGTTCCTATCTATTGAGTGAGTGGTTGAATTGTGGTCTTATTAATTCTGAAGAGAAATAGAAATGATTATACCACAAGCCTTTTGTCAACTATTTCTATGAGGATTTATTCTAAATATAGCATAAGGTTAGTGATCAAGCAATAAAATATAATTTCCAACTATTAAATCTGTCAAGATTTATTCTTTGTCTCTATGCATTTTTATTGTTTTTAATGTCATGTTAAGTACATGAAAAGCACCTCCACATCCCTTCGAGAATATCTATATAAAAAAAATTAATCCAAGTTGGGTGTGGTGGTACACACCTGTAATTCCATCACTCTGGGAGGACGAGGTGGGAGGATTGCAAGTTTGAGCCCAGCCTAGGCAAGTTAATAACTTTAAAAGACTCTCAAAATTTAAAGTTGAGGGGAGGCTGGAGATGAAGCTCAGTGTGAAGGTCATAGGTTCAATCCCCAGTATCACAATCGATCAATCAATAAACTTTAAAAAATGTAATCGTGATTAAATGCATACATACTGAAAATAACAGATACATACTACCAATTCTTGCGCACATGGACTGATGCTCACATGCGTTTCTCATTCCCAAGCTGCTTCCATCCAGTAGAAAACTATAATTGCCATGTTTCTAGAGAAGTTGAATGAATGCATTAAGAATATGCTTTCTGACCTCTGTGATTGCTATTTATTATGCAGGATTACCAAGAGGAAATTGCTGTTGCCCAAGAGAACAAAATACAACTCCAGCAAATGGGAGAACGACTTGCCAAAGCCAGCCATGAAAGTAAAGCATCCGAGATTGAGTACAAGCTAGGAAAGGTCAACGACCGCTGGCAGCACCTGCTAGATCTCATCGCAGCCAGGTAAAAAGAAACCCTTCTCAGTAGAACCCTTGCACGCAGAACTTTAAATCCTTTTCAGCCCCCGCCTTTCATTTTAGCCAAAAATAGCAGACAATTGCTCTCGTCCTTCCTGTATTATCCCGCCATTTTGAAAAATGTTCATGCTGTTCTCATACAGGGCACTTTCATTAACTTCAAAATTCCTCCTGGTTTGTAAATCTAATGTTGCTTGCATGTAGCTCAGAGGGAAAGAGTCATGTCCAAACAATACCCATTCTCAAGAGAAAGCTCTTTATCTCAGGATTTCATGGAAATGGAGCCCCTATGGGGAGGAAGGAAAAAAATGCTTGTCTGCCATAGCAAACAGAAAATGAAAAATAAAAGTGGCATCACATCCTGTTATACTTTTGGTTAGCAGGTGTGAGAGTAAAGCTGATAATTGCCACTCAACTTAGTTATAAAAATAGGCAGCTTCATTATCGTATTTTGTGATTGGCCTTAAAAGTCACTATAGAATTGTGTCATATCTGAGAGGCAGGTTACAGTCAGTCCCTATTGCAAAAGGCAGTATGAATAAAAGGGATGACAGTCAAGATAAAAAAGATATGAGGGTCTATGAGCAATATAGATTCTAGTAGGATCGAGTGATGCACTTGTATTTGCTATCTTAATGTAGGGAATAATGTAGGTAGATGCTGGCTTGTAGGTGAATTTTGTTTCATGTTGGAAGGCAGGTTCCATGAGATCGGCCAGCCTCATCCATATTATTCATTGTGTTACATAAGCACAAGTGCCTGGGCTGGCAATGTGACTTAGTAGGATGCTTATCTAGCATTTGCAAGGCCCTGGGTTTAATCTCCAGCTCTGGAAAACAATTACTAAATATAATATGGAGTCAACAAGTATTTCTAGGAATGAATGAATTAATTCTCTAATATTGATGTAGATATTCATCATCATGTCTGTTAAGAGAGTTGGAATGTTACCAGTGCTCCTGATTTACAGTCATATGGAGGTCACCCCACAATATGCTTTCTAAATCAGGATCACTTTCCTTAGCTGTGCTGTGCACGTGAAATAGTGCCCTTTGTACATATGGCACTGCAATTCTGATGCCAAATTTGAAAACACTGTTTTCTTCTACAAGGAAGTCATCAAAGAGTGTCTAACTCAAGTTGATATGATAATTTCTCTCAATGATAAAGAAACAAAAATGGAATGAATGTTTCTCAATTTTTAAAAGGTTTAACAACAGTACTGTACCAGCATTTCTTGCATCTTTACTTTGTGCCAAGGGCTACCTTGCAGGCTTCACATACATCTTCTCACACACTCACAGTGCCCTCTGAAGTGGGCATTATCACTGCACCCATGTTGCCAGTGCAGAAGTGGAGGTTCAAGCTTGTCCACGGTCACATATGTGGTCAGTGGCATAGTTTTATGACTCTGAAACCTAAGGTGTGGAAAACCACATACCCCTGCCTGGCAAATCTGTGGCTTCCTTTTCCTGGTTAGAGAGAATGCAGTTCAATGAAAGTTACGCTCTGTGAATTTCCCAGTTCTCTGTCTGTAGGATACTCACCACCCAACAGCAACTGCTGGACTCTGAGAATGCAGAAAGCTAGAGGCCCTTTCCCCAAGTAGCCATGTGGAAATGCAGGCTTGCAAAAAGTAGAGTAGAGTAAACCAGGGAGCCCAGTGCTCTGATACATAGAAAGATGAAACATGTATCTCAGCTGAAATTATTCAATGGTTCAGACATGCGAAGGTTTAGAATCCCAAAGCTATGCTCAGCCCCACATCTCAGTCACTAAAATGATAACAAATTCGTATTTCAGAGGGAGAAATTGAAGCCTCTTCTGCTATAAATATCTTTTTCTAGCAAGATCTCCCACTTAGTAAATACCCTCTGGATTTTTTTGGCAGATTCCGACTCATGAACTGACTTGCATGTCTATTCAATCCAGTTAAACTCATTGCATTTCCTTTACAGTTTAAGTGACTCAGTGGTATGGAGAATGGGGATGAGCTATGTCAATGGCTTGGTGCAGTCCCAGCTATTAGCCAACATTACACAGGACTGTGGCACTTTTTCCTCAAAATTGTGCATATTGATAACAAGTCCATGTGGCTTTTCAAGTGAGAATTTCCTAGATGTTACAGACTTTCTAAAAAGGCATATTAATAACATTAAATCAGTAACATATTTATAAGGTACACATGCTTTCCATTGTAGTCACTTAGATGCTCATCTATGTGCCAATTTTTGTAGAGCCCTACCAAACAAGTACAATTCCACTTCTTATTTCTCCTTCAGAATTAGATCAAATAACATACCAATCATTCACTTGCCTTGTTATTTAACACCACACTGGATTCATTGTTTCTCTTTTGGCTTCTCCCGAGAGACACTTGCCACCGCATTTGCTTTCCCTTTCCTTGTTTACTAGGATAGAGGCTGCACAAACTCTCCCGCACCTGTCTACAACTATGAACTGGCAGCTGAAATACTACTGGTTCAGTCTCCTCCAGGACTCTCCCTTCTTCCAACTCCTGCCACACTGATTCATTAACACAGAACATAGCCTGGTATATGTCTTTGCATATTTTTTAATTTATTATCTGCTTAGTGAGAAAATTTGGAAACTCTTAAAAACACACACACAAAGTGAACTGGAACCCACCAAGCGAATATTTTGAAAAAATATCTTAAAATGAACATGTTATGTTCATCACTTACATCATTTTTTTCTTTTCCTTTATCTTCCTTCTTTATTTTTTTACTCTTCTTTTCTTTTCTCTTTTCTTGCTTATTTTTTTCTTTTTTGAGACAGGGGTCTTGCTACATAGCCAGGCTGTCCTTGAACTCATGGTCTTCTGCCCTCAGCTTCACATGCACTAGGATTACTTACATCATTATTTTTAACAGGACAAAAGTTTCGAGTACATAAAGGGGAGACTAATATATCATCATCATTGTTCATATTGAAATACTCTGTCTAAAGGTACAGACCAAGTCCTTTCCCACAGCCTATCTTCTCCCTCCCCGCTTTCCAAGCAACCTATGTCAGTCCTACTTACAGCACTGAGCTGGCAGATTGAATTGAAGAAAAGGAGAAGTGGCTCCATTTTGCTACAATTTTCTGTTCTTGTGGAAGTGTGGCTGGTTAGTTTGCACATGAGTGGTTTGTCTTTTTCAAGAAGCCTTCCCAGTGTCACAAGCAGCCCGCAAGGAAAGCTGCCTGTCCTTCCAGAAGGGTGGAGCTCTGCAGCTGGTATTATTTTTGATGTCCTTTCTTTAGACCTGTAGCCACCTCCTCCCTGCAGATTACACTGAGCTTGTTCCCCTTCTTACCCTCGTGGCCTACATTCCAGGAGATCAAGCCTGGCACATGTTAGTGAATGTAGGTTTTATTTAGAAACATGACCACTTGTCACCGCTCAGTGTCATGTTATCAGGCAGAGACTACCACCATTTGTCTGGTGTGAGCATTTCCAAACTTCTCTACACAGAGAAGGGAAACTTTCGTCCCCACTCGGGATTTAGCCTTCTATTCTGCAGACCCCAACTTTTGCAAGTGGAACTTTTGCTTCATGGTGGTGGTGGAGGACTTGCGTGCCCTGAGGATGGCAGAAGACAGCAGTGTGGATGCAGACCTCCCAGACTGCAACTGCGATGTCACCAGGCAGGCATCTCCTTGAGTTTCTTCCATGGCACATAGCTTTCGGGTTACGTGGGGTTATAGCGTGGATGCCGAGAGCTTTAATCCAGAATTGTTTGTGCATCATTCAGTGAAGGTGATTGGTGTTAGGAGAGTGTCGCCCATGGACTCCAAAGAGTTATTTGTTGGCTTTTCTTGTTCGTCTACTGGGCATATGCAACTGGATGGAAAGACTAATGGCCTTTGTTATGACTTGGCATTCCAGTTGTCTCTGGACTGTATGCGTCATGCAAAGCGATGGCTACAGACAGAGGCTGAGACCCAGGAAGGAGATTCAGAAAAAGATCAGTGAGGCCATCACCTGCTATTTAAAGGATAGGCTTTTGACCAAACTGAAATTCAGCTCTGTAGCTGAAAACTGTCTCTTTAATAAATAATCAGATTGTAAGGCCAGTAGGATTTTGTGTAATAATTGCTTTTGTTTGTGTCTGTTGATTAATTTTGATCACACACTAATATAAATTCTATAAAACAAATGAGTAAAATATACAAATTTGTATCTAAAATAGTAACTAGTACATTATGCAACTATTTATTTTTGGATTTTTTTCCTATTAGAATAACAATATGATTTAAAGTTTTTCTTTTAATTTTAAAAAATGTTTTTTTCATCATTTTGTCCTGGAAATAAATTTCTAAAAACGAATTATGATTTCCAAATGGTATTCTTAGTTCTGTCATATTTAGAATTTAGGTTTTGTTTTATTTGGGATTATAGATCTATTAAATTGATTTAAAGGGGAATAGTGATAGATACATAAAATATTACATATATAAGTATGTATATATAATACATATATAGATTCATTCACATGACAGTGTTGATATGCTGGCAATTGGATTTAACGGAATCCCTCCTAACAAAGGTGATGTGCCTGAGATACACATTGGACTATGAACAGAGAACCATAAACCACAAGGGCTTAAAGATTTATTGGGCTTGCTAGCCTCACCCAGACACGTGACATCTGGAAGCATCTGTTCTGAATTATAATCCTGGATGCTACCAGTAGTGCTCCTCAAACTTCTTACACTGATAAATAATTAAAACGTTGTGATACTTTGGCCATTATTTCTCTAAAGAAATGATGGAGAAAAGGAGGCATTTATCCTATGGTCTCTGTTCTACAAGTATCAAGTTTAACAAGCCAGAGAAAGTGTATAGGGGCTTTACTCCCCACTTCCTCCCAGCTCACATCTGTTCCCCCAACAAACAAGGTAGCTTGCTATTTGTAGTGAATTACACTTTCTAAAAGATGATAAAGGCGAACTACTTAAAGGTCCACCCCCACTGCCTTT